ATCCATAAAATCAATCAATCTTTATTGTTGCATGATTCTCTGTGAATTACCTAAGTCCTAGCGCTTTTCTTTTATTGATTTTTATTACAATTTACATTCGTTGCTTACTTTATTCTCAATCACAAAAATGACAAAAATATCTTGTTCTAGCTTAGTTTTATTCATTACAAGAAGTCTTTATGGATACGATCCCTTATCTATACTAATTGTGATTGCTGTGCACTTGAAGGTAGTTAGTTGAGAGGTAAAATTCGACAACACATCAAGGGGGCAGCTGCCCCCCATGAAATAATATTAATTGGTGTAATTACTAAAAAGTAAATTTTCATGCCCCCTTTTGTAATTATTTTTTTGCCCCCACCGGTCTTATTTGTTTCTCATTTTTCTTTTTTTTTTGTTAGATAAATTAGCGTATTCTTCGCGCCTTGCGCGGGATAGTATTCTTGGATAAAGGATATCAAAACAAAATTAAAGGATATTCAGATGAGATATCAATTCTATTATTCAAATGACAATTGTTCAATGGATTCTCCTTCCACTTGCAGAAACTCTTGGACATAAGAATTTGGATCAATAACAGGAGAATTAGGTTCTAGTGAAATAACCATAATGATACTCATAAGAGCCAAGCATCTCAATGGTTTCTTTTGAACTCTCTTATTACGTACCAATAATAAACAATGATATAGACCTAGAAACACGGGATGCAATAAAACTATATAAAATTTGATAATAAATTAATTACAAATTATCTAAATCAGTACAAGAAAGTTATTATGAATATAATATGAAAATGTATAAAAAAATTTGACTTGGAATTGTAATTTATATATATAAAGCTTCTTCAACAGCGGTACCAAAGCCAAACGATTACTTTTAGTTATCTCGAATTACTTGATCATCAGACTTTAAACTGAGGCAGTATACTTTCGTTCTTACTTTCACAAGCTCGTCTAGAAATCCAAACAATCATCGAGCATATGGATGCGCAAATTTGTCTCCCTTTTATGTTTCAGCCTTTACCCGTCCCCTTCCAACTCTTATTTGCGTCCCGTACCAACTCTTATATGCGTCCCGTCCCAACCCTTACCCGTCCTGCCCCAGTTTTTATCCTCATTCCGTCCCAACCCTTATCCATCATGACCCAGTCCTTCTTGTGATGTCTTATAGTAAACCCAAGTCTTTCCCAGTCCGAAGGATGTGCCTCGAGACGTTTGGTCTTTTTCTCAATCATTTTATGCTTTATATCAAGAGTAACTTTCTTCAATATCCTCGTCTATTATCATTAACTACCAGAA